TGATAAACTCCATTCAATCGAATCCATACAATCGTCCAGTACTATCACAATCACGGAATACTTACCAGCACACCCGAACAGAACAATTTGTAAGGGCGATAACTCACATTACAATATAAGTTTATTATGTTTAATTGATTTGTAACATTTAACTGACTACAATAAATCACTTCTCTCAAAACCATTGCATTCCTCGAAGATCCCACGATTGTCGGGCATACAAGAGATCACGAATGGGTGCTACCATGGGCGGTCAACAGCGAATATAAGCTCTCCCATTGACCTCCAATCACAATTCGATAAGTATTAGAAAGACTCAAATATGTAAAGAAACTAGTAAAATATCTTAAATTATTTTCATTTACCTACAGCTGACGAATACGGTTTATAAGGCACAAGGCAACACAAAAATATATTTATGGTTGCGGAGCTTTCGAACGCACTCCAACGGTCGCTAAGCTCGTGTAAGCAAAATGGTTCCTAAAGGTTACTGATGTGATTATCTCACGTTATGTCTGTTAGTTCTTGTTACAATCAACTGAATAGACTCCTTCGAATGAACTATGATTAAAATACGGCCAGTGAAACACGATCCGTCCGTTATCATTCATCTTACCATTCTCGGTATCCACGGAACGATCACAGCGGATGTTACTGAGAAATTGTCCTTGCAACTTATATAACACTAATATAAGTCGATATATTCCAATTATTAAAAACGTTAAGCATGCATTTGCAACGTGCACAGAATCCTCGTTTGATTGCCTCGCTTTCGTGTCGCGACCATAGGAACGTAAATTTACTAACGTTACAGAAAATGCTGTCATAAACATTAACAATCATATTTCCACCAATGATGAATCAGCCTCAACACGCAGATAATCTGCTTAACATTCAAATACTAACACAAGATGGGCTTAAGCCAACCGGTCGAGAAAGCACTCAAATTCGAAACGAAATTAAAAACAAATCCTAAGAATCGCCATTAAACTTTGATTAAAAAAACCCGAAGTCCGTTGATAGTTATGCTACTACAGTGACGTTCAGGCTTCCAATTGGATAACAGCATCACAACTGACGAATTATCAACGGACATTGTATTTTAATTGAAGTAGTATAATATTATTGTAATATAATAACATATTAAGCCGAGAATTCCAGGCCAGTGCCCACCACAGTAAGACCAATTAAACTAATATGCCAGTTGTAAAACAACAAAAAATAATAACTACTTACTTTTAATAAAAGTCTAAAAGGGACTTGGTGGAACCGTCGCACCCAACAGTGTAAGTGCAGCTGGTCGAGAATCTGACGTGAGAACATCGAAATGGCCCTAGGGAGTTTGAGTGGGCATTTGGGAGTGGAGACGCGCTGACAGCTGACCCCGCGTGCGCCGAGCACTCGAGCGGCCCCCAAGCAACCGTGCGCTAACACATTCAGTTGACAGCTGTTGTTGCCTTCAGGGCCACATGGCCACGTACCCACCACATGTTTGCAATCATTTTAATATTTTGTCTCTGTAGGGGCGTTTATAATAATAATAATAATAATAATAATAATAATAATAATAATAATAATAATAATGTATTTATTAATGGCGAGGTTCAGGCCATAGGGCCTGCTCTTCCGCCTAACCACACGCGGCGTTTATGATAAATAAATTCTTCCCGCAAAATGCAGGGGAGCCCCACAGTAAAGTAGGAACCGCAGGCAATAAATGTCGGCCATGAGTAAATCCACGGGGGCCCCTTATCACAAATTTAGTTCCCCCAGCTAATACATAAACAAAAATGGAACAGAAATAGTCTGAAATGCATTTTTTAATACAATTTATACTGTCTTTTCTTAACTAGTTCCTTTGAGGCTAAATGCCCTGAAAAATACTTTTAGGAAAATTCAATAGATCGCAGCACTAGTCACAGGAAAATTTACTTTACCTATAACGTCTGAACCATTTTTTTTCTTTCGTCCCCCCTTCACAGTAACCCTGTGAAGAAAAGGAATTTATTATCTTTAAATGTTTGCACATTTTGCTGCTGCCTTGCGGCTTAAGCAGCTAGAGGCGGGTTTTTTTCTTACAACTAATTTACATTTAAACCTAAAGTTAACTTACTTGCACTTTGGTATTACTAACTTACACTATTACTGGTATTACTTGGTATTACTAACTTACAACAGCGAGTTCAATTTCTCATGTCAGAATACTTTTCAGTTTTCTATGAACTTCATGAGTAGAGACCGGATTTTTATCTAATTACATTTTTTTGTCTTTCTGCTTAGCAATCTAAAAAAAATATTGGCGAATCATCGCCGTCCTGACACAATATCAACAGTTTTCGTTACATATTTAGTACTATATTACATATTTTGCTACTTTTACAAAATATTTTTTTATTCTATCAATTTTCTTCAATTTTATAACTAATTTTTTTATGAAAAGAAGTACTAAAAACAGGCTTATTTCCTACATCGTTACTGCGAGCTGTCTACTCGAGGTTCGCTCCATGAAGACGCGGTACGATGTTCTCACAGTCCTGCTCGTCTGCATCAGTTATCTCAGCGGAGGGAAGTGCACGTCAGTGACCGAGATCAGTTTCACCTTCAGTTGTGAAAAGTATCACTGGCGCGCGTCTCGTGAACTTTAACCTTCATTTCCGAGAAACTTTGCCGATCGTCGACATGTTAACTCTTCACTGAGAATGCTGCACGCTGCAGATAGTTTGCTGGTCGTAGATATCGCCAGCTTGTAGGATGGTTTCTATTGCGTCTAGTCTGGCTGCTAAACGACAGATCTGAATAGTAGTAGATTAAGGTTTTACAACTGACGGGAAAGTTGTATGGTACAAAGCATGGATCAATTTGTACTCTTTAAATTATTTTTAAAACGTTTGTACCACTCTTAAAACATATCTTATCTTTTATAAATGTCATTTCGTATTATATAAATGTTCGTTTTGTAATTGTGTATTTTAATATTACACATTTTATCCTATTTTACATATTTATTACATATTCTTACTTTTTTCATTACATATTTATGTACATATTTTAACGTTTCATACTACATATTTTTTCGGTTTCTATTTATGAGACATTTATTAATTAAACAAACGCAACAATGCATACAAGTCGCCCCGGTAATGGAAATATTAAGGACTTGAGAGAAATGTCAAATAACAACAACAAAAGTTGTGTAAGTTTTGAAAAAAATAAAAAAGAATAAAGCAATACGGCGTTTATGTTATCTTACACAGGACAGTAAGTAACATCCCTACCAAAAGTTTGAAAAAAAATTGGAGCCGGTTTTGAGTAATTGTAGTGTTGCACATATTTCACGCTATATTACACTAAAACCATTAAAATTTTCAAAGAAATGTGCACGACGTCAATGAAAGAACTAATTAGGGAGAAGAAATTTAATTTGAAGAAAATATATCTATCTTCAATATTGTAATAGTGAGGAGACGCCGCGAAAAATTCAAACTTTTGTAACCTTCAAAAAAATTAATGTTAACAGTAAACATCGGACCTATGGCACCTTGAGAACACATTTCAATGTACTCTTTCAACAAATTCGAAGACAAAATTGAGGCCATTTTTGAGAAAGTATAAAAAATGTCCCTGTGGTGATTCCCCGAATTTAAACAATTTTTCGAACTTGTAAAGCTTCGAGACAGGCCAGATCGACCGGTGAATATTCATTTTCTATAAAATTCAAAAAATACATGTAGTTTCGACCCTAGTGTTGATCATAGATGTCAGGCAGACGGACGGACGGACGTTTTGAAGAAAACAAAAACAAAACAAAAACAAAACAAAAACAAAACAAAAAAAAAAAAACACTTATCGGTATCAGAGGGCCCCAAAAGGCGCATTTGTTGAAATCTCAAAATAGATTTTCCGCATCATAACAAAACTTTCTCTATTCTACATATATTACTCAGTATATATTTTGTACGTATGCGAGAATGTAAAACCAATGTTGTGATGCGGAAAATAGCGAAAGCATCAGACAAATCCCAGTCGGATCACAAGAGAAACGCCTGCTTGCCTGCCTCGCTCCCAGCCCGCGCCTCCTACCTCTTACTTCTCTGTCTCAAAAACTTAACGGGACTGGTTCTTAAGAGAAGTATGAAATGCAATTTGTGCTCCAATTTGTTCACGCGCGAGACGGTATACGAAGGAAAAAAAACTTGTGGAGCAAACAAGTTAGAAAATGGAGGCTCTCCTGGAAATTAAGAAAATATACACGCTAATATTTACGGTGAATTCGCATAAAATGCGTTGGAAAGGCCCGAGCCTCGTCCTCAAATTGGAACAGCCTAGCGAAGCGCCACTTTACGCCGGAAAGTGCGTCGGCCGCAAAGAGAACAAATATATTATATCTCTCCTCTCGGGCCATCCGCGCACACTGTGTCAGGCCGAGTGACTCATTCTCGCAATCGACAGCGCGTGAACAAATCGTATAATAAACTACACTTCTCCCACATTTTTCTATGAAACAAAATTGAGACCCCAATTAAGTCGGGACATGCGAAAAATTACATTGCTGCTGAAGCTTCCTTTTTGATTTTTCTGGAGAAGCTTCTTTTCCTAATGATTTTCTCGGGGATAATGAAAGAACATCTCGAACGACCTCTAGTTTTCGCGGCAAAAGCATAGTGTTTTGGCGACTGCGTTTCTGATCGAACACGCTCTATCTCGCGGTAGCACTTCACTAACCGAAATAGGGTTCAATTGCTCGAACATATTAGGATATTTTTTTGTTTGAAAGCTACCTGGCTCTCTGATGGATGGCGTTTGGAAATACTTCTCCGCCACATATCTGCGTAGCTCTGTGATGAAGCTATTACCAATATCGCTATCGAGGTGTTGAGGCTCATTGTACGTAAACTTTAAAACAGTGAATGAATGCGCTGCCTATTTTGCTTTGAGCAGGTATAACGCAAACCACAGGAAGGGTGCGGGTGAAAGGTAAGGGGTGGTGAGTGAAGGAAATGTCACAGAAATGCAGTCAAACGAGCTGTCCCAGAACCAGTGTTGCGCGCGTCTGGGCCCAACGCGCGCGTCTGGTCCCGACACGCATCGCGCTGGATTGTCACGAAACTTATTCAAATTATAATTCATATTCAGGGAAATTTCAAGGACCTTGAAGCATTAGTAAGCAGTGCTTTTGCTACCATTAGTATTCGTTACCTTTGTGGCCTTACTGCTTGCCACAGCGCGCAAATCGCCCCCGCCCTACCGCGAGCCTGGAGCTACCGTCAGTAGTGATCTCAACATTACAGCTGGATGTACAACTGCAACAAATACTTTTAATTGCTGAAAATCGTGACGATCATTTTTCATTATTTTGGCTGCGGTGAACGTATACCTTCAATTCTAACGAGCGGCTGCTCTGATTCTCCGTAGTTTTCCGTGGCTTCTCCAATCAACACCAGGTGAATGCCGGACCAGTACCCTCACAAACGGGCCACGGACCGCGCGATCTTTCCTTTCTTTTCCTTATAATATCCTCACCCCTAACACACACTTAAATGTACTACACTACCTCACTTGTCAGGTGACCGGTTATCGAGATCTTAGAGCTTGTTCCGGCTGAGGTGGTAACCCACTGGTGGGAAATACCTAGTTGGGAAAATCCCCGTAAGGTGACGTAAGTTGAAGGAGGACGGATCTTGCCAGCCAGCAAAGGAATATCACCGCCCCCTCCTATGATAAAAAAAAAAGCCCTACACTTACGAGACTAATGACCTTAACAGCGACGTGCCCGAAAAAAACAATCAATTAATCATTGCGTCTCGCTACTACTGTCATATTATAAAACACACATATTAGAAAACTTTGGTTGCCTATGTCACTGCTCTTACCACCGCTGCCGCCGCCATTCCATCCATGGCCGGCGACCTTTTGTCGAAGTATGTTACCGAATTCATGAACGGCTGTGACATAACATTACCCCATATACTTTGTGAACTTCGATAAATCGATTAAAAATATACTTGCCTTCAATTAAAATTCCGCAGCGGTTTAAATAACGTCTTTTGATATGCTCCCGAATACGGACTGTACGCGCCCATTCGGAGGGGGGGGGGCACCTAATGCCCTAATATATTACCATTTTCCCACTGCACTTCAAAATCTTGATGTGCAGAGTAATTAATAAAAAAGCACACTTCTAGTATTCTCCAAACGGATCACGACATGGAGATAGACTTTTCACTAAAAGATTCAGGGTACAGGGCTCATCAGTCGTATTATTAGCTTTTTGTAAATTTGTTTATATTTTAAAGATTTTGGTACAACTTGTTTTTTTAATGGAGGACTGTACCATCTTTTACACAAGTACATGGTTGTTAAAAAAACAAACAAATTCAACAATCCCATGTATGCATACAAGCGCCCGTGACGTGAAACGCGTGCAAATGCGATTCCCACCTCACACACTCTCGCAATGATGACCCACCAGCGGGGACTCGCCCGCTGGCTATATGCACCCACATACACATATCGGCCACCGGTGGCTCGACGATGTGGCCAGAGGGCTACGAAAAAGGGGCAGGGAGGACCACCTCGTGTGAGGTAATGAGAGGATCCGCCGAAAAATGAATGGGACAAGCACACTAAATATTAATTTACAGATCGAAAGTTAAAAGGAGAGTGATAATGCCTCTAGGAATAAAATAAAACTTACAATCTAAGAACTGAAAGAGAAAACAAAACAATTATAAAACTATTGTACTACATAGAAATTGAATGCCGGTTCCGTGCGGTGAAATATTAATGCAAATTCTAACTCCAAGCTTTAAAATTAGTAAGGTACAAAATAACAAAGCAAAAAGTTAATAAAATTGATTAAAGAGAAGCCAAAGAAACTAAAACGAACGTTTGGAACTTAATGAGTGAAACAAAAGTTAAATACAATGAATTAATATATAATTCCTGTGACAGATGGTCATAAATGTGAGTGTCTTTCATAAATCGTCACTCTCAGTTACAGAAAACATGTACCTGGTATATGGAGACGTTGTATGTTGCACCCGTACGGTTGTTGCCGGAGCAGGAGCCTTGCTGCCATGTGAATGTGATGCCCACAACACACTGCACTTCCATCAGAGCTAATGCTCCGACCAGGCAATGCGTGACGCTGTTGTCGAAGTTCTCCATCGCGCCGCAAACGTGAAAGCGAACGAAAACATGCCAGTAAGGCAGATGAGTAGCTTGCAGCGCTAGTTCATGTCGAGATGAGTAGCTGGTAGCCCTGATTGATGCTGTTAATGCCGATGCGGCACGACGATATCTGAGCGATGTAATGCGTAGCAAGGCACAAGTGCCAGCGCGTAGCACTAGTTAGCGTTCGCGTTGACGCCCTGCGTGAGTCTGTGCGAACAATCTCCCATGACTGACGAGCGAATCTCAATCTCTGAGCGGGGCGCGGTAGTTCGCGAGCAATGGTATATATTACATTGAACTCTTGCCTCGCCGGAGCGGTGGCGACCGCGAGGCCCACGCGGAGGGGGCGGCCTGAGATGGAGGGAGGGGGGGACCTCTGGCGCTGGGAATGGGCCTGTGACAAACCGACCGCTGGGCGCGCGGCTACGTGAGGCCGCGCCTTCGTCGAGACCTTCGCCCGTGGGCGGCGGGTGCTCTCTGGGGAGGCAATGAGGTCATAAAACTTTGCAATCCATTTCGCCGACAAATGCCCATCTTCGTCCACCACCGCGAACACGTGTTCTGAAGAACCCTGCGCCACCGCTAGGGGCCGGGGGCAGGGGGGGGGGTGCGGTCCTGGGAGGCGAGGGAGGTACTCACGGCGGCGGCGGCGGCGGCAGCTGGGGCAATGCGGCACTCTCGGACAATGAGCAACGACGGCTGCGCGGAGAGGGTGGTGGCGACCGCGTTATTACATTGAGCTTTTTCTAAAAAAAATATTTAATTGTTTGTTGAAGTACAATGTTCAGTTTACAATAAAAACTTTGCAATTGTTTGATGTCTTATTCTAATTAACTTAATGTAGGTTAAAACTGTACTTAATTAATCTTAATAGAGGGAGAGGAAAAAAAAGTACCTCAGGAGAATTATTCTACATTTGCAAATATCTGGAGGAAAGAATGGAGCGGGAATCTGTTCTTAATTCCGGTTTTGATTCTGGGATCTTTTCCGAGTCTGTAGTGAGTTGATGCCTTTATGAAGGATAAGTTTGTGTAAAAGTTGTTTGATAGGAATGCTAATTGGTGAGCTAGTTACATTAAGCTATGCGCGCACTGTGTCGGTACGGCACGGACGGACGGGACTTTTTAGTTGATTACACTGGTAAGGGTGCGCGCACTAGGCCAGCACGGACGGGACGGGACGATCCGTACCTTGCACCAAAGCAAAAAATCCGAAGTGATGTGCGAATGAATGATGTCCAATGTGAAGTGAAGTGCGAAAGAGTGGGAAGAATGAATGGTTATGTATATAATGAAACTAGTATGAATGATGTGTGAATGTAGAAAAAAAAACTATTTACGTAGAATATATAACATAGTATTACAAAACTGATTTTAGTGCAAGTTAGTAATGCCAAAGTGCAAGTAAGTTAACTTTAGGTCTAGAATGTAAATTAGTTGTAAGAAAAAGCCCCGCCTCTAGCTGCTTAAGCCGCAAGGCAGCAGCAAAACTGTATAAACAATCATAGATAATAAATTCCCCTTCTTCACAGGGTTACTGTGGAGGGGACAAAAAAAAGTCCGAAGGAAAGATCTGATGACGTCATCGGCACGGCCTCTGCGCCGTTTCAGTTGTTACGTGAAGCGTGAAGCGTGTGGAGCGGTCATGAATGCGTCCAATTTAATTATGTTGATCCAGAATTATCCCGAGTTGAACAGCGTGGTATTAGGTTTTATTTGAAGTATTACCTTGTTAGGAAATGTAATTTCCATTGGTGAGCTAAACAATCTGAATCAGGGACAAACATTTAGCAAATTTCGAGATATTAATAAGAAACTGTTCGGTATACCTGAAACTTGGTGCATTTGTGCACGGGGAATAAATTGTGGCATGGTTTGGAATGATGAATTAGTTCATTAATCAATATAATTTTTTGTATGTGTCTTGTGTAAAAGATTGACTTATCTGCGCCGATTATTTTCGAACGTTTCTAAATAAAGGAATGCAATTATGAGTCCGTCCCTTAGTTCAATTTAATTGTGTTACCAACACATTTATTTATCTTATATTTTTTAAATATCCAATTTAGCTTCACATTTATCGTGTAATATTCTACACAACTGAAATAATTTTTCATCTTATACCAGATCGGGATAGAATATGTGAAATTACCCTTTTGTCATTATCGTTGTGTTTAGAAGAGAGGAGATTTTGGGGTTTCTTCGACTCCTTGCCTGATTTCCTTCTTCTGCTACTAAAAATGAAGCCAATGCGATTGCGTCTTTCTTTAAATTAAGGAGCCGTTGCGCACAATACAAGTCTCGGAACGAAGTGACGGAGTGGCCGTGCCGTCCTGTTCTAGTGCGCGATCCACGCTACAATTTCTGTGCTATTATAGTATTAACAAAACTGATCTTAGTGTAAGTTAGTACTGCAAAAGTGCATGTAAGTTAACTTAAGGACTAGAATGTAAAACTTAGTTGTAAGAAAAAGCCCATCCTCTAGCTACTTAAGCCACAAGGCAGCAGTTCAAAGTAAAAATTTAAAGTAAATAAATTCCCCTTTTCCACAGGGTTACTGTGGAGGGGACAAAGACAAAACGACCCACGCAAAACCAGACGTCCGTCCGCGCCGCACCGATCCGGTGCGCGCGTAGCTTTAAGGCGGTGCGCCCATGTCCATGAAGTTGGCACCGCCACCACAGCAAAAACCACTGAACCATTACCATTCGTTTGTACCTGGTTTGTACCCTTTTGTACCACAGATACATTCGTTTCTACCAAAACCACTTACAACATACAGCACTCTATTGTAGAGGTTCCAACTGACCATTGGCACCGCCACCATTGTAAAAAAAAAAATTGGAAACATTGTAAATCGTTTGTTCCATCTGAATGTTTGTTTGCACCATACTATTAATGAAGATACAGCGATTTTAATAAGTCCCGTTTTGAAACGTATCAGCGTGACGTACAATACTTTAAACAGAAAGCAATTTTCTTCAAATTTTTAAGTTTTCGGCTTAAGGAAGAAATGCAAAAACTAAAAATAAAATAGTAAGAAAATGCCACCTACAAACCTTAAATAATTAAATATATACATGAAAAATAGAGCACTTTTTGTTTTAAAGCTGCAAAATATTTTTTGTCTGAATTATAACACAAGTTACAAACTATTAACGTAAGCGTTCCGAACTTTTTTTCAAAAACTTTAAAATTAATAACAATTTTTTCATTTTTTGTCGATTTCAACTAATAAGTCATTTTTACGTTTTTTCATATTTTTAATGCTTTTTTAGCTGGGTTCATCGATTTTAATGTTATTTTAATGGTACTATCTTCAAATAATATTTACGACATGCAACAAATGTTCTCCGCATAATTTCTGAGTAAGCCTATTCCGTTTATTCACACATAGATTGTAATGGCAGCCTTTAAATGTAAACTAAGTTTCCTGTGAACCTATCAGCGCCATTGTCGGTTCGGTCGATTTCGAGATAACTTAAGATAAAAATTTCCTGGTAAAGAACAGTTCAAACCAAACGTTTGCAAGCTGAGTTCAAGACGAATGCAAGAAGCTTAGATTACATCAATAACGTATCCAAAGGTTTGGGTTGATGGTTTTGATCACATTTTTACGTTATGTTTATCTGTTTTTAGGGCATTTTAAGAGCATTTTTTGATCATTTTGGGCGACGTTTTAATATCCACCCCTAATTATAAGAGGTGACTTATATTCGTGTTTTGTAGAAGTAAAAATTCCTACCTATCGAAATAATTACATATGTACTCCAAAACTTTGAAATAATTGCAAATATACTCCGTAGATTATAATTAATTTTTTTATACTGTTTCAAGTGATGAGCGAAGTGAAGAAATTGCAATATGATAATTTTATGAAACTGTCCGCAATAATGAAATTCTCCCTCATACGTCACATAGTTTTTGTTTACTGACTTTTGACTAAATCTACATGTAAATGCAATAAAATAGAATGTGCTGTGTAGAACCTCTAGTTGTAGGTTGAAAATGTTTCGAGAGACTAAACTAAAAATATATCAACAGGGTCAAATGAACGACAATTTGTTTTTTTTTGGGGGGGGGTAAAAAATTAGCAACAAAAAAGCGACATATTTTGAATTTAATTTCAATGGTTTAAAAAATTTTTCTTGGCTAATATTAAGAACCTCGAGCAAAGCCACTGGGAAAGGGGAGGCGTCACTGGGCCTGTCCGCTGTCAAAAAGAGAATCTACAGGGGGTCGACCTCACTCCACGCCTCAGCCGGAGCCGCCGGGTCTGCCCGCACCTTCCCCCGCGCCCCGCCCGATCCTCCGGCAAAAGCTGCGGAAAGACATGAAGGGCCTCCGCTTCGCGTGCACCCTCGCCAGCGCCGCCGCCACGCAAACGCCTCCGGACCTCCCCCACCTCCATGAGGAAGCGACCGCCACCCTCGCTCCGTGGGCTCCCCTTTTGTCCCCTCCTGGTCCCCTCATCGGCCAACGCCTCCACCGCCCACTCTCCATCCCTTTTTTTTTCTTTTGTCCCCTCCACAGTATCCCTGTGGAGAAGGGGAATTTATTTTCTATGATTTTTTTAATACACTGCTGCCTTGCGGCTTAAGCAGCTACAGGCGGGGCTTTTTCTTACAACTAACTTACAATCTAGACCTAAAGTTATCTTAATTGCACTTTGGCATTACTAACTTACACTAAAATCATTTTTCTAGTTCTATTTTATATATTCTACGTAATTATTATTTTATATATAGTTGGTAAATTGTTGTTTTTTTTTCTACATTCACACATCATTCATACTAATTTCATTATATACATAACCATTCATTCTTCCCATTCATTCGCGCTTCACTCTTCACTACACTGTTCGCCACGGCACTGACTTGACTCAAAGTCCTCCCCATCCCTTGTGACAAAGGGCGGCGACAAAAAAACAGTTTGAAAACCATCCTTGAACGACCACGGCCGGCATTGCAATATGAATTTTCCAGAAATTGTTGAAAATGTCATAGTGGCTTCGGGTAAAGTACTACCTAATATTAAAATAGCTTAATGATCTTCGGGACGGCACACATAGTAAATCTTACTCGTCACGTATTCGCCGTACTTCAGATTCTTCTTCTAATTTAACAGAGTTATGCGTGACACATTCGCCCATATAACATATGGATGATACAAATACAATAATAATAATAATAATAATAATAATAATAATAATAATAATAATAATAATAATAATAA